ATTATGAAATCCTGAAAAACTGGAAAACTTGCAACTCTGTATATAAACGTGGACATTAGAAAACTTGAAAATAAGAGAAACTCAAATATTTAGAAATTTGTATATATGGACATTTGAGAATTAGAAATTTTTGTTTCTATTGATAGAAGTTTCTACTTCACATACGTGATTTACAATCATAGTAAAATAGTGGTAATCTCCCCTTTCATTAACCCTTTATCAAATGAAGCTTAATCGTCATTCCATAATTTATATAAGAATCTCAGTAATAATTACTCATGAATATCAACACCTTAATCTTAATCCAGTTAACAAGATCCTCAACCATCAAGACTGAACAGAAAAACGAAATGCCACTAACATGATTGATTATCCCACACCTTAATGTTTGTTTTTGATAATGTCTTCTTTGTATTCCACGTTCCTTTGTACCTAAAATTAACGTTGAGTCCGTACAAAAATAAATCTGTTTCTATGTTGAAGTGTATCGGTGCAGTTTATATTTTGACGTAGTATTAGCTTACGTCAAAGAATGGTGAACATAGGATTACTATGTAAATCGATAAACGATACGCCGTGCTGAAATGAAAATACTGTTTTATAAAATTCGGCGGACTCATGAATATTCGACGATATGCACGTTTCGTATCGTTTCAGTTTTATCAATCATAAATTTGCGCGCTTTAATTTCACAGAGAATCAAGTTGACCGAATAAAAGTAGTTTCAATACGGGTCTAATAAAATTCATTTGGTGATTACATGTATTTATTTGAAGAATGACATTTTTTTTCCTTTCACAAAATTTTTTAGTTTTTTGTAATTTCTACATAGTTCAAAAGATGAAAATAGATGTAACGCAAGTAAAAAATGGGAGGTTTATTAAGAAAAGGTTTTTACAAAATATTGCAGTGTTTTTTTATCAAAATCAATATTTTATTTTTGTCAAATATAGTCAAATATTTTATTTTTGATTAAAATTGAAATAAGTTTTCAATAATTTGATAGACAATGATTGATGGACAAGTTATTATGTTTTGTTGGTTAATTGATCTTCACATATGTAAAGGTCAATTTACATATGTAAAGATCAATTAACCAACAAAACATAATAACTTGTCCATCAATCATTGTCTATCAAAGGCCACTGAAACTGGGGACCATATTTTATAGATCCACCTTTCTATAAAAAAATATCCGTAAGCTCCTCATTTTTTTGGTGTATAAAATTACCAATAAACGCTGTTCAATTTTATTCTGTTCGTCTTCTGATTCTGCAATTCTAAATTGTTATGCAATTAATATTACCTTCTGTAACTCACATGGGATGTAAACGATGAACATAATGTAATATTAAACAGGCGGTTTTTGTATCACAATGTGTTATTTAACAAAAAAACACACTATCATTTGAAGGAAATACTAAATGAATACAAAAGCAGTCATCGTTTTATTGTAAATTTTTTGGGAATTTTGAAATTTTGGAATTTAGGAATTTAAGAATTTAAGAATTTGGGAATTTAGGAATTTAGGAATTTAGGAATTTAGGAATTTAG